TTCTCCCCATCCCTGAGTGTTGTTTTTCCCTGCCCTGGGCGTTATTTTTTCCTTGGATTCTCCCTGTCCTGGGGTGTTGTTTTTTCCGGATTTCTCCTTATCCTGGGTTCTCCCTCTCCCGAGTGTTGTTTTTCCCGGCCCTGGGTGTTATTTTTCCCTGTCCTGGATGGTGTTTTTCCCTGGATTCTCCCTGTTTTTTTCCCTGATTTCTCCTTATCCTGGATTCCCCTCTCCTGGGTGTTATTTTTCCTTGGATTCTCTCTCTCCCGGGTGTTATTTTTCCCTGGATTCCCCCTGTTCTGGGTGTTATTTTTCCCTGGATTCCCCTCTCCCGGGTGTTATTTTTCCCTGGATTCCCCCTCTCCTGGGTGTTATTTTCCCCTGGATTCTCCCTGTTTTTCACTCGATCTCTCCTTATCCTGGATTCTCCTTATCCTGGCTTTTCCCTGGATCCCGTTTCCCCCCAAATCCCGATTTTCCCCGGATCCCGATTTTCCCCGGGGGGCAGGAATTGTCCCCAGCGAGCTCCACGTCCCCTCCCCAGGGAAACCCTCGGGATGCTCCCGGGATCCAGTGGCCGGGATCCGGGATCCGGGATCCAGTGGGAATGCGGGATCCAGTGGGAATGAGGGATCCAGTGGGAATGAGGGATCCGGGATCCGGGATCCTGTGGGAATGCGGGATCCTGTGGGAATGAGGGATCCTGTGGGAATGAGGGAATGCCGGGATCCTGTGGGAATGCCGGGATCTGGGATCCTGTGGGAATGAGGGATCCTGTGGGAATGAGGGAATGCCGGGATCCGGGATCCTGTGGGAATGTGGGAATGCCGGGATCCTGTGGGAATGAGGGATCCTGTGGGAATGCTGGGATCTGGGATCCTGTGGGAATGTGAGAATGCTGGGATCCTGTGGGAATGAGGGATCCAGTGGGAATGCTGGGATCTGGGATCCTGTGGGAATGTGAGAATGCTGGGATCCTGTGGGAATGAGGGATCCAGTGGGAATGAGGGAATGCCGGGATCTGGGATCCTGTGGGAATGAGGGAATGGCGGGATCCTGTGGGAATGCCGGGATCTGGGATCCTGTGGGAATGAGGGATCCTGTGGGAATGCCGGGATCCTGTGGGAATGAGGGATCCAGTGGGAATGCTGGGATCTGGGATCCTGTGGGAATGTGAGAATGCTGGGATCCTGTGGGAAGTGGGAATGCTGGGATCTGGGATCCTGTGGGAATGTGAGAATGCTGGGATCCTGTGGGAATGAGGGATCCAGTGGGAATGCAGGAATGCCGGGATCCGGGAATGCGGGAATTCCATGTGGGAATGTGGGAACTCCATGCGGGAATGTGGGAATTCCATGTGGGAATGCGGGAATTCCATGTGGGAATTCCAGTGGACGGGATCCAGTGGGAATGCTGGGATCCGGGATCCAGTGGGAATGCGGGAATGTGGGAATTCCATGTGGGAATGTGGGAATTTCATGTGGGAATGCGGGAATTCCATGTGGGAATGCGGGAATTCCATGCGGGAATGTGGGAATTCCATGTGGGAATGTGGGAATTTCATGTGGGAATGTGGGAATTCCATGCGGGAATGTGGGAATTCCATGCGGGAATTCCATGCGGGAATTCCGGCGGGCGCTCGGTTCGGGGCAGGAGGAAGCGGCTCTGACCGGGATTCCTGGAGCCGGGAAGGAAAATGGGGGGAAAAGGGAAAAAAATTGGGAAAAATGGGAGAAAAAATGGGAAAAATGGGAGAAAAAATGGGGAAAATGGGAGGAAAAATGGGAAAAATGGGAGAAAAAAGGGGAAAAATGTGAAAAAAGGGGGAAATGGGGGAAAAAAATGGGAAAAGTGGGAGAAAAAAGGGAAAATGGGAGAAAAAAGGAGGAAAATGGGAGAAAAAAGGGAAAAATGGGAGAAAAAAAGGGGGGAATGGGAGAAAAAATGGGAAAAATGGGAGAAAAAATGGGAAAAATGGGAAAAAAGGGGGAAATGGGAGAAAAAATAGGAAAAATGGGAGAAAAAAGGGGGAAAATGGGAGAAAAAAGGGGGAAAATGGGAGGAAAAAGTGGGAAAATGGGAGAAAAAATGGGGAAATTGGGAGAAAAAATGGGAGGAAAAAGTGGGAAAATGGGAGAAAAAAGTGGAAAAATGGGAGAAAAAAGAGGGAAAAATGGGAAAAAGTGGGAAAATGGGGGAAAAAAATAAAAGAGGGTCAGGAAGAGGTGACTCCCAATCCCAGGGATCTCCGATCTGTGGGATGGGGGATCCAGAGGGGATTTTTGAGGGTTTGGGGTCCAAAATCCTCAATTTCCCCCTCATTTTTAGCCCCGGGAATGCTAAAAAAAATGGGAATTTGGGATGGGGACGGAGCGAGGATCCCCTAAAACCTCCCGGCCGTGGATTTTTGGGATGAATTCCAAGCCTGGAGGGTCCGGGAGGGAGAAGCAGGGTTGGGAATATCCTGGGAGAAAAAAAAAAAAAGAATGAGAGAGGAAAAAACGGGATGAGAAAAACTCAGCTGCTTCTTTTTCCCCCCTCATTCCAGGCCCCATTCCAAGCGGGAATAGCAGAGCAGGGAAGGGAACGGGAGCCCGGTAATTTGGGATGGCCGGATCCCAAAAATAAAATAAACCACAAAAAAAAGATGGGGAAAGGATGCGCCAGCACCTCGGGATTTTATTTTATTTTATTTTATTTTTTTGAGTTTTTTTGGGATATTCCCCCTCCCACAACATCCCAAAAAAACCCACAGGGAAAGGGGAGAATTTGGGAATTTTTTTAGGGATTTTTTTGGGGATATTCCAGCCCTTCCCCCCGGGAATTTGGAGCTGGGAAGGACCTTGGGAAGGAGCTTTTGTTGGGTTTTTTTTTTTATTTTTAAATTCCTTTGAAAGGCTGGAAAATGTAATGACAGGGTGGGAGAGAAAGGGATAAAAGGAAGCAGCTGGAAAGGCCCGAAATAGAGAAAAAACCAGGAAAAAACCCAAAAGGAGCAAAAAAAAAAACCACGAGGGGAAAAAAAAAAGGGTGGGAGGGAAGGGGGGGAGGGGAAGGGAAATTTGGGATTTTTGGGATCCCCTTTGCAGCCCCCAAAATTGATCCCGAGGGATTCAGGGTGACTCCCCCCAAATCGCGGCATTCCCGGGATTCCAGAGGGGAGAATTCCTGGGAATCCTCAGCTGGAACATTCCCGGGATTCCAGAGCAGAGAATTCCCGGGAATCCTGAGCCGGAACATTCCCGGGATTCCAGAGGGGAGAATTCCTGGGAATCCTGAGCTGGAACATTCCCGGGATTCCAAAGGGGAGAATTCCCGGGAATGCCGAGCTGGAACATTCCCGGGATTTCAGAGCAGAGAATTCCCGGGAATCCTCAGCTGGAACATTCCCGGGAATTCCAAAGGGGAGAATTCCCGGGAATCCTGAGCTGGAACATTCCGGGAATTCCAGAGGGGAGAATTCCCAGGAATCCTGAGCCGGAACATTCCCGGGAATCCCAGAGCAGAGAATTCCCGGGAATCCTCAGCTGGAACATTCCCGGGAATCCCAGAGCGGAGAATTCCCGGGAATCCTCAGCTGGAACATTCCCGGGATTTCAGAGGGGAGAATTCCCGGGAATCCTCAGCTGGAACATTCCTGGGAATTCCAGAGTGGAGAATTCCTGGGAATCCTGAGCTGGAACATTCCCGGGATCCCAAAGCATTCCCAGGGACCCAAACTCGAGCATTCCCAGGAATCCTGAGCATCCCTGGAGACCCCAAAACGGAGAATTCCCAGGAATCCAGAGAATCCCAGGGGACCCCAAATCAGGGAATTCCCGGGAATCCCGAGCTGGAGCATCCCTGGAGCATTCCCGGCCCCCGGGGGCTTTCCCAGGAGTGGGAAATTCCAGCCGGGATCCAGCTGTGGAATTCCAGCCGGGATCCAGATCAGAATTCCAGCCGGGATCCAGCTGTGGAATTCCAGCCGGGATCCAGCTGTGGAATTCCAGCCGGGATCCAGCTGTGGAATTCCAGCCGGGATCCAGATCGGAATTCCAGCCGGGATCCAGCTGTGGAATTCCAGCCAGGATCCAGCTGTGGAATTCCAGCCGGGATCCAGATCGGAATTCCAGCCGGGATCCAGCTGTGGAATTCCAGCCGGGATCCAGAACAGAATTCCAGCCGGGATCCAGCTGTGGAATTCCAGCCGGGATCCAGCTGTGGAATTCCAGCCAGGATCCAGATCAGAATTCCAGCCGGGATCCAGATCGGAATTCCAGCCGGGATCCAGCTGTGGAATTCCAGCCGGGATCCAGCTGTGGAATTCCAGCCGGGATCCAGCTGTGGAATTCCAGCCGG